AATAAATATATCTTTAAAAAATAATAATAAAATGTAAGGATTTATGTGTCATATGACCCTGAAATTCTACTCTTAAGTAGTTTCTGCAGAAAAGTGAAAACCTGTGTGCACACAAAACCTAAATGTAGACTATTTCAGAATTTTTATTCAACCCAACATCCCTAAACATTGTGTATGTGTACGTGAAACTGTAATAACTATTCCAGAAATGATGAATTTTGCTGAATGGAAATCACACTGCAATCAAAAATAACTGTAAGCAATAGTGTCTCACAGAATGAGCATTTTTCAAATGAATGAGCCAATAAATATTTTACTATAATAGATTCAACTTAATATAATTTTATTTTGACATAGTAATATTTATCAGACAACTTTGCCATTGGTTCATTTCCAGGAAAAATATATAAAGTATCTCAAAAGTCTTTATAAAAATTTAAGCTTTTACAATTTACAAGTGTTTCGAGCTTCTAAAAACATCTTTTGAAACTTATTTAACTTCCTCTTACATAAATCATTTTGTGAATTCTAAATATTTTTAATTTCTTTTGTTTCAATTTTGTTATCTTATGGTACTAAAAAATAAAATTCAAATTACATAAATCTAAATAAGTATTTTTCAATCATTTGTAATTTTAAACCAGAACAATGCCTCATTCTTCTCAAGTACAGAATTTTCAAAATATATAAAAGCAGTTTCTACACAGATATAACATGCTATCATAGACACATAATATTGTACATCGACTTACTAACTTTGTCTTAATAAGCATAGGTTGTCAATAGATGTGTATTTTAATATTTACCTAGCTTCAAATTTGTTAATACTTTTGTTACTATTTTTCACATTTACAACAAAATATCATTAAAATTCTCCAAGTTTGCATATTAAAAGGCACAAATTACCTACTTTGTGTCTTATGATAAATATTATACATACTTTATAAATCTAGTAAAATTTGTATTAAGTTTTATGGGTGTGTTGACCACAATAATCTAATACTATACTACCTTCCCCCTGCCTTAAGTGGTTAAAATTAAACTTTATTCAGCTGCTACCATGTAAATGAAGTGTTGAATTATATTTAAATAAGCAAACTCCAGAACCTCTTTCTTTTCAGTTTACTCTCTTAACTTCTTTTCATGTTAGTTGCGTAGTATGTGCCCTCTTGTACCACGTTAGCCATTTGTTGTTGGTCCTGAGAAATCATAAAAAAATCACTTTTAAAAATGATGTAAAAATAAACTGTTATATTATTTTAAAAAAAAATCACTTTTATATAATGATGTATTAATCAAACTATTGAAAGGAATCTTTCACACACACATTTTGATATAGAATGATCTTCAAGAAAATACTAACTAGAGGAAACAATAGCTAGAGAGCATTAGGTAGAAAATGCTTCAGCTTATGTAAACCCACAAAGAGGGACAAGGAAACGTGTGACCAGGCATGTCTGTTAACATGTGGCTCATTAATAATATAAGGGGAAAACTGTTAAAGGTTATTACTCCGAAAATCAAGTGATGGATATAAAAACACTCATTTTATCACACTTAATTCTATTTGTATTTTTAAAAATTGTATTTAGTATCAAAGTGAGCAAATTAACTGTGGTTATGAGTTAAAATCACCTGAAGAGTCTTAAAATTGTAGGTCCAATCCCTTCAAGATTAGTAGATGTGGAATATGAGTGCTGGGATTTTTAAAAGGGGACTCAGGTAATTTGCAACTGTAGTTAGTACTTACAACTACTGAGCCAAGTTTTATTATAAGTACACTTGTAGACAATAGAAAAACCTTGTGTTCTTTTCAATTACATTTAGAATTAGAGAATGGTTTAAAATCATTTAAATTGAAGCATATATTCTTAAATGTAATATGTAACTTGAAACTTATGAGCTTGCATAATCTTTTTTTCTACCATGAATAAAGCATATTATTTTTAGAATTGCATGTGTCTGAGACAAACTGAATATATGTTAACAAGATTATTTGCCATTAGAAAAGTATTTCACTATTGGTTATAAACCAGAATTTAAAAGAGTCTTGCTAATTATTATTTTAAAAACCTCTTCATTGCCAGGATTGTATAGGATGAATAAGGCAAATTAATATTTAGGAATATATCTTTTTTCTTTGTAGCTGGAATAAGCTCTGATTATAGCCTTGAAGAGATAGATGAAAAGGAAGAACTGAGTGAAGGGCCTAAAGATGAGGCTGAAAATACTTCTCTGAAGTCACAAGATATTCCTTTTGGATCTACTAATATAATAAATACACTGAAAAATGCTCCTGACTCAGCCCTTGGCAATAATACTGAAGAGTCCTCAAAGAACTCCAAAGAAGAAAAACAAGAAATAAGAAACACAGATGGACAGTAAGTAGTCTGTGTGCCAGAGTATTGCTGGTGGTTTAATTGTTACTAGTCTTCTGTAATATAGATTTGATATTTTAAACACGAATATAGTTATCTGTTTATTTTAGACTCTCTCCCTTTTACCATCATTAAAGAAATTTTATTAATAAAATATCTGTTTACATGTCCTAGTTTTAAAGTAAAATTAATCTGGATGCTTCTGTTATCTTCGTGTTTCAAATATTAAAGTTTCTATTTGTATCTCCAACTGTATGATGCAGAGAATGCACTTTCCACTTGGAACTGAAAACTTTAGTATAGTCTACGTATTTTGTGTTTGAACATGTTATAAATTAACCTGAAAACAAGAGGCAAAATAAACTATCATCATCAAAATGTTACTGTCTTTTGCATGGGTATGTCTTCAAATTAATCTTTCCCATCATCAAAGATAACCAGTAATACAGTCAGTCTACACTCTGACATACTGTTGATCTTGCCAGATACAAGACTTATATGTTTTAGTTTATTTTTACTGGGAAGATATCTGATAAAAACAAAACAAAGCAATATGCTTTTTTTTGGAGCAGTGTCCATTTTACCAAGATTCTTACATATTTCTTTGTAATAAGATTACCATATGAAGGCTAATGTTTCATACTAGTATTTCCTTTCTGGGCCCTCCCTGGTGGCACAACAGATTAGGATGCAGCACTGCAAGCTAGCTGCAGCTGCTTCAGTGTGAGTTCAATTCCTGGCCCCGGAGGTAATCCACATGGTGTGGCAGACCTCTCCTAACCCACCCGCTGCTCCCCTCAGCAGTTCATCAGTCTGCCTGTTCTGCTCCCCACTCTTGTCTCTGGTGAAGTCTCTCTCCACCCCTGCACCTCTGGCCTGTCTGTACCCCAGTTCTGTATGCATAAATAAGTAAATCTTAAAAACAAACAAACAAACAAAATACTAACTAGCATTTCCTTTCAATTCTATTTTTTTTAAAAAAAAAGATTTTACTTTTGCATCCAGAACTGGGATACAGGCCAGAGGTACAGGGGTGGTGAGAGGATTCACCAGTGACAGAGTGGGGAGCAGAATAGGCAGATTGACCAAGTACACTGCTGAGGGCAGCCGAGGTGGGGTCAGGAGAGGTCTGCCGTGCCATGTGGTCACCTACAGGGCAGGGATCGAACTCAAGCTGAAGTGGCTGTTGCTAGGTTTGCATTGCTGTGCCTTAACCCACTGTGCCATCAAGGAGGGCCCCTCAATGCTATATTTTTGTTGTTGTTATTAAACTAGTTATTGGTAGAAAAATATGAATATTTGAGTCCATCTGTCTGAAAATTATTGTCTATTTTCTCATTATACGGGTGTATGTATTTGAATAGTGTCACTATGTAACACACAATATCATTTTTTGCAGAGGACCATGCATTGATACAAGCATTGAAAAGAAGGTAGTTGACAGTGTAAGAAGCTTGAAGTCATTGGACCCTAACCAAGAAAATGGTGAGTTAATAGCACCAATAGCCAAGTTTCATAGAGCTTACTAGACCATTCTTAATATAGGTAATGCAATATATGTATACATACATACATATTAGTTCTTTTAGTCTTATATATTAACACATTTGTGCATATTAATATTTTTAGTTCCATTTTATAGATGAGTGATGCATAAAAATAGTAAGTACCTCATCTGAGGTCCCACAAATTAGTTAGTGATGGGCTTCAAGTTTGGACTCAGGCTATATTATTCCAAAATGTGTTTTTAATTACAAAGTATAACAAACTACTACATAGTAATACAAACTACTTTTGTGTTAAATGTTAGATGTTACCTAACTTAGATAAGTTAGGTAACATCTATGCATCTACTTGTGATATATTTTTCTTTTTTTTTCCTTCCCAGTCCAAACCTGTTTTACTTCACACTCAAGTTACTGTACCTTGGATAAAACATGTCTGCCCAATTTTTAAGGTCCAAAACACCCAATTATGAAACCTTATTTAACAATTGCCCATTACCCAGCCCCAAATACAGTTTCTTTTTCTTTCTTATATTTTACTCAGTTCTATCACTTAGGCCTATATTCATTTGGTCTTTGCATGGAAAACAATTTTACACCTATCTTCATCCATTCAACTTTGATCCAATGTGTGTGTGTGTGTGGTTATAACTTGATAAAACATTGATTGTCCCACTGTCATAGACAGGGACTGTTTCATATACATGGTATATGTTGGTTAATTTGAGTATGTTCACCTAGGTGCATTTTCCTCATGGTAAATAATATCATGTTTACCTGGGTGCATTTTCCGCATGGTCAGTAATATCTTGCAATTCAATACTGGAGGGTCCAAAAGTGTTTATTTCCCCATTTTTTTCCTGTCGATTCAGTTTGCACAATATACTCTCAAGGCAATAGCAATCTTACTGAGAAATCACAATTTAAAAGCTATTCCTTTTTGAAATTGTAGCCAAATTAAACCATATTTGCTATGATTTTGACATCAAGTTGTACTAGGGCTACTAGATTTCCATAGTACTATTCTGATTTGTACTTGATATGTAAGTGCAATGTAACTTTTTTTCAACTCTAGATCATTTCTTTAAAAAGTAAAAATTTATTTTATCCTTAAGAGTTTTGTTTTCCACTTTCTTCTTTACCTATCCTTTATGCTTATGTTGGTATTAGTTTTGTGTAGGTGAAGGAAAGGTTAGCTCAGAGTCTACCTTCTCCCTCTACTGGCCATTCTTGGAAAATAAACTAACCATTCTCTGAAACTTGGTGGCATCATTGATGGGTATGTATGAGGATGGAATAGCTGATAAATTTAGTATTGACTTTAGGTTTCCAGGCTGGATAACCCTTGGGAATAATCATAAAATGTTAATGAGAAATCCAGTTAAATAATGGTATAGTAGGTGTAACCCATTTTGAAAATGTGAAACATAGAAACATGGAGATTCTAACAAAGGAAGTGTGTGGGACAGTGGTCCTTACTATGTATTGTTCTGGGAAGTGATTTCATGGTCGTATGACTTCTAAAGTGGTTAGGCTATCTAGTTAAGTACAGGCACACCCCAGAGGCATTGTGGATTGATTCCATACCAATAAAATGATGCTGGGGTAAAGCAAGTCATACAAAAGTTTTGCTTTCCTAGATGTATGAAAGCTATGTTTTTGCCCTGTATTGTTTCACTTTATTAATTGTGTGATAGCATTATACCTGATTAGACAATTAGTTCCATGTGACACTTGATGTATGAGCCCAGGCTGTTGGAGAAATGGTGCAACTTGACTTCCTTGATGCAGTTGCCATAAACCACTGTCTTGAAAGAAAAACACTATTTGCAAAGCAATAATTGAAAGTGCAATAAAAAAGAGGTTCAAAACCATAAATGAGGGCTTATTATACAGAATTTAAGTTAAAATTAATTTAAAGTGTTTCTTTTGTGGAACTGATATAAATCTGTTAAATGAGAAATAAGCAAGGAGTAGGAAAAACATTCAGGCTCATTTTCTGGTGCTAGGGATCATTTCCTAAATCCTTTTATGTTCATAGCAACCTTTAGAATAATACTTTACCTATAAATATTAAAATGCTTATGAAACAAGTGAAATATGATTTCTAAATTACCTAATGTTCTTACTTTTAATAAATCATAAAAGTTAATAATTTTTAGTCATTGAGAAAAGAAGTCACTTAGATAATACATATTCTGGCAATCAGTTGTATTTTATTAGGAAAAAATAAAATTCTATTTTAAAACTGTGTAAAATGGGGACCTTGCAATATAATATATAGTAGTTATTATGACTAAATTAGACAGGATTTAAAAAGGTACTTTTTAAATGTACCTGTACACATTTTTTTCATGTATCTCTTTTTTTTTCTATTTTTTTTCTCTCAGTAGAGGAATTTATTTAGTACACATAACATTTTAGGCAGTGATTTTGATATTTCTTTTATAAGTAAAAGGGAGTGTTGATAAAACGATAGGGAAATATTTGGCATCTTTTCATGACTTGTCTTCCAAGGTCCGCATTTCACTTGTGCTGTGCAAAGTACCTCATATAAAAAGAGGATTTTGAGGATGGGGCTAGCAGTCATTTTGGAGCAATGATTAGAAGAACACAGTGTATATATCAATTTGCTAGGCATGTAGTACATTTATAACCCTGTGTTTCCTTCCAGATGCTTCTGTCCAATTCTTTCCCATCAAGTTGTTTGTTGACTGGCAGTTATTACTTCAACTTAGACACTGGGATATTATTTTCACGTTCAGGATGTCTGATTAGAATTAAGAGAGAAAGTAAATTAGTGCAGGGGATAAAGGGTTTTCTCTACTTTGACAATGACACAGAAAAATAAGGATGCCTTTCTCTGCAGAGAAAAATCCAAATTGACATAATTGTTTTTATGTAGTTGAAAATACTCCCATTTCAAGTGAAAACACTCCTTTAAATTTTTGGTAAGAACACCTAATTAAGAAGACAATAAACTTATATCTTGTTTTTACTTCATTTAATTATTTAAGATCTTAAATATCTTTAAATATTTAGTATCTTAAATATTTTCTGTCATCTGACTTAGTTAAGACTGCTAATATTTGATGGGATAATATCAGCTGATAATCTTTGTAAGGTTTAGGTATGAAATATAGGTGCATTTTTCTGATTCTCTGTCCTCAGACACTTAAGCTGTTTCCATATTTAACTATTATAACTCGAGCTGCAATAAGCATAATGTACATTATGGAAAAGACAGAGAAAGTAATAGCTACATTTAAATTTCTTAATAACAATGCCCAAGACATGAAGTCTTTATAAGAAGCATATTTATCTCCTATGGAGTATTTAGTCTGTACAATACCCTATTCTAATAAGCATGTCATACAAATGGCATATAAAGTTCTAATACGTATTTCCACCTTTTTACACCTGAGCAAACTAATGCTTAAAGATATTAAGTGACATGACGTGGTCACACAAATTGTAATTAGTCAAGCTGGCTTACAGATTAAGGTCTCTGTGTAAACAAAGCCCATGGTAGTTTCTCTGTGTAACAACACTATGTGTTTTTGTATAACTAGTGAGCTAAAAATTAACTGTAGGGCTCAAATCAACTTTAGCTTGGTAGAAGCAGACATGGAGAACTTGAATTTTTCTTCTTTTTTCATATATTTCATAATTTTTCTTTTCTTAGCAGGTCAAAGTGAAATAACTGTGATTGCCACAAACACAAAAGATAATGTGAAAAATGGAGTGAGAAGAACAGAAATCAATGTAGGAGGTGTTACCAAAAATAATGTGGATGTGGACGCTGACAGACTATCAAACTATCAAGCACACAAAGCTGATAATGTTAGAAGTTACAAGGAAAATCTATCGGCTCTATCAGTATCAGATCAAAAACCTAATCAGTCTAGTGCAGATAAGACAAAAAAGCAAGATGCAGCAATTCAGACAGCTTATTCCTGTAACACTTTTGATGGGAATCAACATCGTAATTTGTCTGATTTCAAAGTCAATGAAAGTGTGCAGGCTTCAAGTAACAACAAATCAACTCAACATTCATCTTTAAGTCCACAAGATTATGTAGATACAACAAGAAAATTCAGGAGTCAGAATCCCTTAATTTTACATTCAGAAGACCAGATCACCATGAAAGATCCAATTTGTGCACACGGTAATGGTGATCTCTTGTCTCCTGTAGATGGAACTGATAAAAATCCAAATACCTCACATATAAAGAATTATCCAATTTACCGACAAGACTACAATCCCAAGCCAAAACCTTCAAATGAAATTACAAGAGAATATATACCCAAAATTGGAATGACTACATATAAAATAGTGCCTCCCAAAACCCTGGAAATCTCAAACAACTGGGAATCAGAAACCGTAGTATGTAAGGGTGAGCAGGAGATACATACTCTAGGGGAAAAAAACAAACACGAGAATGTGAAAGAAACTGCAGTCTGCACAGATGATCCTGTTCTTTCTGAAAGCCTAAAGGAATCTTTGGCACACATGAAACAGAAGCCTACCCAGAGAACAGAACATCAGGCGCACAGTATGGAGGACTCATTCCACAATGCCATGGTAAATCCTCTGAAACCTACTCCCAGGACAATGAGAGACACAGCCACAGCTCCTTTTGCACCAAATCTGGAAGATATAAACAATATTTTAGAATCAAAATTTAAACCTCGGGCTTCAAATCCCCAGGCCAGACCAAGTTCTTTTTTCTTGCAGATGCAGAAAAGAGCATCAGGTCACTATGTAACATCTGCAGCTGCCAAAAGTGTTCACACACTCCCTAATCCTACTCCAAAGGAACCAACAAGTAAAGAGGTGGAAAGGGATACTCTGCCTACTCCACAGCAAACTCTTCCTCCCTTGAATAAGCCAGTTTCCTCTCCTTCACAGTACACTGATGATTACATCAGCAGACGGAAACCTACTGGAACCTCCCCACCTCCCATAGCTCCAAAACCTGTTCCTCTTCCTTCCAGTCAGTCATCAGTACTAAATCTGAAGACTTTGAAGACTTTTGGTGCCCCACGACCTTACTCAAGCTCTGCTCCTTCACCATTTGCCCTTGCTGTCGTGAAACGGTCACAGTCTTTCAGTAAAGCACCTACAGAATCCTGTAGTGACAGTGCATGCACCCAGCCTCTGACTGACACAGAGGGAGGAAAGATGCCTTCAGTGCCTAAACATGTGGACACCCCCCAACTTGGTGGGAGTGATAAGGTAAATGTTGCCATTTAAAAAGTAAGGAATTGTGTGCCAAGTGGTTAAAATGGATATTGACAAGCATGTAGTGTATAACTTAAATTTGAATATGTATTAATCTAATATGAAGGGAAATTAAGAGTGGTAATATATATAGTCTGATTAGTTACTTTCAAAATTCAGTCATTCATAACTTGATTTAATATTACTCTGGCATTCTTATCTGACTTTTTTAGCAAATATTTTAAAATTTCTTTGGTCATGTTTTTGTCTATTTGCTTATAGTTCCATTTCTATCTTCCTGTGTTATGCTTATCTCACAGTTTCTGGATGTTCTTTTTTTTTTTTTAGAATTTTTTTTTTTAGAATTCTAAATAATAGCAAAACGGTATTAATTGTATAAGCACATAAACAGTATCAAAGATTAAATAACCACTGATCTCTCAGCTATAATCTTCATACATATGCAGCCTTAGCTTAGCTAATATTTTTGTAAATATAAACAATTTAAGCTGTAAACCATTTCATTTCCCACTTTGTTAATTTGATGTCTTTTCCAACTAAATATATGATGACCAAAATGTTATTTAACTAGTCTAAACATAACAATTTACAAAAGGAGATTTATTGACTTAGTTTTTGTTAACTGAGTTATAATTTGCTAGGTTCAAATAGGAAGTTTGATGGGAAGATGAAATTCACAGTACGAATCTTGATCATCTACATGCATTTTCTAAAAATGCTTTGTGTACTTTTACTCAGTGTTTAAAGAATATTTTATATTGTGTGACAACTCCACAAGTATTTTATACTACTTTTTCAAACATTCCCAGTGTAACAGAACATTAACCATATTGCCAAGTCAAGGTTTTTACATAATTTTAGAGCAATATTTATTTATCTTGAATATTTATTCATACATTTCAATTTATGTTTATTACTTCGTTATAATGTCAGGAAGAGCTATGTGATGTAGAAGCTACATCAACCTCTTTCCTTGAGGGTGAAGCCTGTGTTTTTTCTTAGAATAGAATACCATTCCTAAATAATGAAAGCTTCATTTAGATAATATACTTCTTGATCCATTGCCTGAGATCTGTTTAAGTTCATCTTTTCTCAAGATATTTGGCAGTTTGAAAAAGATTTTGAAGATTATTTGATAATAGTTGCCAGTTAACTATTAATTACTTTTTAAGAAATTTAAATGTTTCCTCTTAAATTTGAAAAACCTAATTTTTAGTCTCATGGGAAAAAAACTTGGCCATAACTTGCAGAAATGCAAAATAGACTATTAGATGTAGCATCGAATTGTTTAGTAATCTTGTAACCCCAAAGACAGTAACTCCACAACCTTATGTGGTAGATTTATGAAAGGAGGCTTTTTCTTTTTTTAATCTATAGAATTTCTTGATAAGAATTTGACTCTTATAGTCAACTTTATTAAAGAAATTAGTATTATTTGTCTCAAAGCATATTTGCCTCAAAGTGACCACTATTTCATAAAACAAAAGGAGTCATGTTTTTTTTCCTTAGCCTCCTGAGTTTAAGGGAGAATAATGCACTCATCTTCCAGCTGAGCTCTGGAACAGAGAGAATTCACTACAAGAGGAAATAGTGGTCTATCTGAACACTAGGGTATCAAATGGAGATTTTTAAAAGAACTACTTGTGCTGAAAAGTTTTTGAAAAATAGTCCAGTTTTCACTTGGTATTCATATAAATATTTTGCATTTATTTTTATAGGATAACTCTGCACATAGTGAAGAGAATTCCCAAATACCTATTTCGACTGACTGCCCATCACTCACCCTTAAGAGACAAAGTTCCTTAACATTCCAAAGCTCTGACCCAGAACAGATCTGGCAGAGTTTGCTGACTGCAATCCGTTCTGGAGAGGCTGCTGCCAGTTTGAAAAGGGTACGTTTTCTTTATCAGATGGGTGACAGTGGGTTTATTTTCAACATTGTTAAAGTAATACTTAGGAGAAATTGTTTTCTGGCATTTAAATCTGGAAAAGGAAGATGCCAAATGTTATTCTTTTTTAGTCAGGGGTCAGGTCATTTTTGAAGTCGAGATTGAGAGAGACCAGAGTTTTACATACACTTAAAAAATGTCAGGTCTGTTTTCCACAACATGGGCCAGGTGCAGAACAAGGGTTTTACTCATTATTATATAACTATATATAGCAAGTGCCCTGGACTCTTATTCAAAAAAAAAATGTTAGCACAGCAAGAAAATTTCTTTGGGGATGAAAATCCCTCTCTGTTACAGCAAAGCTGCTCTTGTGACAGGAACCTGCATGGTTTTAGTCAGAGCTCCTAAAGTGATCAGTTACTACCATATGTGGGGCTTAGGTTTATAGTTTTTCAAAACTGTACGGAAAATTTAGGTGACACCTCATGTGGAATTCAGATCTTATTAATACCCTGCCAGAGCTGTCCGGCCCCTCCTTACTGAGGCGTAGGAGAGCTTCAGCAGAGGAGGCATGCTGCTTCTCAGGACGGACACCAAACAAATGTCACAGGGAATTATTTTCCCGGGAGTTTCCTCCTCTTGCTGCCTTCATTCACTGTAAGAGGAGGTGGTGAAGGCTTACCATCCCCACTTAAGAGTTCCCAGAGGCGGGGCCTCCTAGCCATTTTTCCTGTTCTCCCCTTTGGCATCCTGCTTGAAAGTTCCTCAGCACCCAAGACAAAAAATCATTATTTCACTGACACCTTAGATGTTTAGGTTTATGAATCCCTTCTCTGATCATTTTAGAAGATATTAAGAGAAAAAGACTTATTTAAGCAAAACAGTGAACTCACCAGAAATGAAATCTGGGAAGAGACAGCAAAGCTGCTGGTAGGAAAGGGAAAAGGTATGAGGTAATCTGCCTAGGTGGGTCAGGCTCACACCAGCCACTTCTTTGAGTGCTTGTGGAGCCCTGAGTGACAGCTTGTCCCATAGGACTCGCCATTCCTACTAGGCCTACATGGAGACCAAGCACAAAATGTTGCACAGGAAGGAGCACAGGCAATCTGAAAGAATAATCCAGGATGTATTAGCTTGCAGGGTATATGATCTAGATTTTGTAGATTGTAGAATATGAATTTTGGTGTGAGGCAGCATAAAAAATTGTTGTTACTTTTAATATTAAAGTTGGTGCTTCATAAGTCATGGCACTTATAATTTTGTGGGATGATAAGCCCAGGTTAATAAATTATATATTCTCACTTAAGAAAATATTTCTATTTTTAATCTTATAAATTCAGAATGAGTTTCAAGTTAATCACTACTGATCTTTCTCAGTTGAATAAATTTGACAAGCATCTTCCAGAGCACACAAATAATTTAATATTGTATAAGCTAACTGTAGATACAGAAATGGAAAAAACCCTCTTCCTTTGAGGTACTTATGGCCTGAGACTAAGAAACAGTGGCATGTAGTGCTCACAGAAAATAACTGTAATGCCTTTTTATTAATTGAGTGGGTATATTAGTCAGTTTCAATGAACTAATTACAGCAAGCAGTACACTGAGTTGGAAATGCCTTTTAGGCCAACATAATTGTATAGGCAAGCAGCTGTATGCTTGGGGTGCTATGGACTCTGAGTTGGCAGCCTTTTCATATTAAAAACTCTCATTGCTTCCAGAATGAAATGGATGTGAGTCAACACAGAAAGCAGGCCTTAAATGATGATCCTATAATTATATCCTGTTTATAACTCATTACTTTAGGTTCTATTGAGTCTCAAACTTATCATGCAGTAGGAGATTATTGATAGTTGGGGTCTATATAGTGCCAGGTTTGAAATTTTAACTCCTTACATAATCTAGTTTATTCTACTAAAAATGGACACAAAGTCTAGTAATACTCAGTATTACAACATCCAGTCCATGATCTGCACTTTTACTTCTATGATATATCTAAAAATGTGTATTTTTGTATACCAGGACTCACATATCAGAATATTCATGGAGTATTTTTGTAATAGGTCTAAATAAATATATCCTTAACATCCAAAAATAGTATATTAAATAGCAATATGTGCAAAGAATGGGCTATCATATAGAAATGAACTGGACAAAATACAGCTAAATAAGACAATGTTACTAGAACCAAAAAAATACACATGCATAAAGTTTGACAATATGGAAGACTAAATTATACTGTTTAGTGATACAAGTGTAGGTGGCAATTATTTTTAAAAGTCAGGAACTAATTATAAACCTCATAATAGTGGCTACTTCCAGAGGGGAGAAAAGAAGTTGTTGGGGATTTATGGGGCAGGACATTCACACAATTGAAGAAAGAACCAAAAAAAAAAAAAAAAAGCTAAGTCATCAAGATAAATACACTCAGTGTGGTAGTTTTTTAAACATCACATTAAAAATGCAAAATCCTGTGGTGCAGAGAACATCAAAACTTTAAATATCAGTAAAGAGCTGGAGACATCTTTTTCTTGACCTGAGTAGGGAGTTCAACACATGCTTGTATGTTTTCTTTGAGCAGTTTATTTAAATTCAGTGCACTTTGCTGTACATGTATTCTGTTTTTAAAAACTGGTAAAGGTGGTAAAAATGCACAGGAAGGGTTTAATTCCTTGTGATCTTTGCTTAAGTTCCATGTTTCTGTCCTGTATGGGACATTTCTCCCAGTTTGTTTTAATTCCTAACATTTCTTTTATAGAACAACAGTTTCATTGCCAAATAAAATCTCCAGTGATTTTGACAGTAGGTGTAGATTGTTCATCAGAAAGTTGGCTCCATATTTGCCTGTATTTTGGCACCCAAATGTTCAATTTAACTCCAGGTACCAACCTGCCTTATGGCTGTGGTTCATACCGAGCAATTAACCTTCATTAGAATGTTTGGTTCACATTAGAACAATTAACTGGCTGATTGCTCTAATGTGAATGCAGTCATGAACATGTTATGTTTTTTCATGTTTCTTAAGGGTTTTTTCCACATCTTTTCCTATCAGCCCCCATGCAATCAGGGATTTCTATTCTTTTCATATAAAGCGTCAACAAAGATAGCTCAGTGTTTTATAAAATTTGTTTGATGTTAATATTTACACAGGAATCAGCAAATTATTTTCAAAGAGTAAAACTTAAGTATTCATTATTGTTGACTGTGCTGACATAAGATCTTTCTTTAGTTGCTTTTGATTCTTGATAGTGTTTGAATTAATAAAGGTCGTTACACTGTACAGGTAGAGTTTAGGTTTATAAAAATAAAGTCCTGAGGCCCTCCCTGGTGGCCAGCGGGTTAAAGCACAGAACTAAGAAGCTTAAGCCACTTCCTCATGAGTTCAATCCCTACCTGCCCCGGAGGTGACCACATGGCGTGGCAGACCTCTCCTGGCCCGCCTGCTGCTCCCCTCAGCAGTGTACTTCATCGATCTGCCTGTTGTGCTCCCCACTCTGTCCCTGGTGAATCCTCTCACCCTCTGCATCTCTGGCCTGTACCCCAGTTCTGTATGAGTAAATAAATTAACCTTTTAAAAAAAATAAAGTCCTAAAAGTAAACTGACAAATGATATATAGAACTTGAATTAAGTATTTCCACAGAATGTAAAACTTAATCTTGGCTAGATAAAATCTAGGGAAGAGGAAACCTGGATACGTCATCTAGAATCTTGCTGACTTTGTTTAATTGGTCTGATTTTTATTCCTGTTTCCTACCTTTGAATTTGAATAATTCAAAGTTTCAGTTTGGCAGCTCTTTCCATGTATTTTTAAAGTAAAAATAAATGGTTTCATAGTTAATGATCCTTATGGAAATGAAAAAGCTAAGTGAATATTCCTGGAAATCCTTTAAAATTCAAAGTTTGTCAACACGTAGATGCTTATATCAGTGGGTATTAATTTCTAAATGTTACTTAGGTATTATTCTTATTTAATTTACCAAGCAATAGTTTCTTTGTAATTGTTTGTAAAGTTACCATTTTCTTTCTAAGAAATATTCACTTACCTATATTATTTCAGCACTATGTTAAGCAGGAATATAATGTAGAATTCAATATATGGTCTCTGACCTCAGAAATTTATATGATGTTATTCTGGTGATGTCTTCTCATGTTAATACTTAGTAAACAAATTTTAAATTTTTACAGTCATTCCCCAATGTAACCACTTCCAGCCAAATTACGGGATAAACTTCCAGGCTATTTTAATAGTTTGCAACTATATTTACTTAAAAAAAAAAAGCTTTAAAACATCCATAAATATATCTACTTTTATGTGTCTATCTTATATATCTGTTTTAAGACTACATTGTATTTGACTCTTATGAATGAACCGTAGCTTATTTGCTTCTTATGAATCAATATGTACCTGAATTTTTCACTTTACAAATGATGCAACAATGACTATTTTACTCATGGATACTTAAATCAGTTTTTTTAATGTTAAAATTTTAAAAAACTATGAGACCTGAAATTTTGATTACAAAAAATAACTACACAGACTTACTGAACCAGAATTATATAACCAAAGCCATTACCTGTGTTCTCTTTGTCAGCTATAGTTGGAAAGAAATTCCATGTTAGGTAGGGTACAGACATATATTCCTTCCCTTGGTGCCAACTTTTCTTCTGAACCCCTTTATGTTAGATGGACCGTGTCAATCATTCTAATTCTACTCTGTGTCATAAGACAGTCAAGAAAATTGGTTAGTTTAGTTTACTAATCTCCATCTAGTAAAAGGCGAAAAAATGAAGCAAAAGAAACCAATTCTAAATTAAATTTCTCAATTTTATTTTCCTCTTCACTGTCACTAGGCAGAATCTGTGTCTTTCTGTTCTTCAGCTTTCATCTTGTAAGACAGTTTGGGATGAATCTAAACAAATCAAGTAATGGTGTTATATTTTATGCATGATATTTCAAGATATAACTATTTACTATTCAGAAATCAAAAGATGTTGCTTTATATTCTAAATGTTGGAATTTCAAGCTATTTAAGAAATATTTTAGGGCTTCTATTGTCTTATATTTTATAAACAGAAGTCTTTGTCATCAAAATTTGGAACTTACAGGTTTTATTTACCAAAAATCTTTTCATTCTGAAATTATCTTGTCATAATCGTCTTATATTTGACATTTTTATCCCTTTATAAAGAAAGCACTTTAAAAGTTGTCTTTCCCTTATAAATAGGACTATGAGGAGGACAACTTCAAATTAATACATATCAATATAAAAATTATAAAATTCACTGCTTTGTGGAATTCACTTTGTTTTTCTACATTCTCCAAAGCACTTTTGGGGAGCCAGAATTAATCTAGATAAAAATGCTCTATGACAGCTTGGCCTGCAGTCTGTTTGTGCTCTTGTCCTTTGAGTTGATTTGGTAATTTTGTAAAGCCTAAGATGTGTTAATGGATTATTTAACTTGTTTGTTGTGGAAATAACAACTCTCTCATTTTTCATTTCATGGTACAGTGAATATTCTTAACTATTCATAATTTATACTACATTAAATTTTAGCACTTATAAAGAAACTGGTTAAAATATAAAATTGTTGAAAAATTAGACAGCTGTTTCATGTTATTTTTTTCTTTATTTTCAATTTTATTTCTGTGTAGAAGAACTGGGGTCTCAGCCAGTGGTGCAGGAAGTGGGTTGAGAGGATTCACCAGAGACAGTGGGGAGTAGTAGAGCAAGGTGGATTTACTGAGAGGCAGCAGCAGGCTAGACAGAGAGATGTGCTGCTGCATAATCTGGTTAGCTCCCTGGTCAGGGATTGAACTGCAGACCTAGTGCTCAGACTTAACCACTAGGCCACCAGGGAGGCCCTGCTGTACCACTTTAAATTGATGGGTGCAAAGTATGTTTGTTTATTTTAGGTTACAGTTCCATCAAATACAATATCTGTGAATGGAAAGTCAAGCCTCAGTCATTCCGTGACCCCCGAAGTCCCGGACAGTCATTAAGTATTGCCCTGACAAATTGTACTTCTCCACCTCCTCTTCATAGAAAACTTCATACTAATGTAAGATGTTGGCAAATGTATATTCAGATGTACACTAATATACTACCTATTAAAGTATAAGAATTTGTGCTGTGATTTTTAATGCCAAAAGAATTATCAGAATTTATAACTTATATAATATTTTGCCTTAAAAGCTGAATATGCTGCTTTAGAACTTTAAGATATTGTGTCAATGATTTTTTTAAATGAGAAGTAGCTATCTTTTGTTGATTGACACATTCTTTAAAATGGTGGCTTAAAGAATAAATTAAAATTCATAGACATATTTATGTGACACACAAATAGGCAAATATAGATTGATACTGGCTGCTTCAGTGTTAGTTTAATTGGAAATTGGTAAATTAAAGCTTGTTTTGTGCTAAAAGTATGATCTATAAAATTTATGTCAAATAAGTTTATTCTTTTAAACAGTTAATTTCAATGACAAATCACTTAATGTGCAAGTCTTGTACATTCTTTATATAACTACAAAATATGTCAAATTTATGAAAAGCTCATAGTATTTTAATATTTTATTAACAATGAACACTTAGTTTTTTTAATCTTTACAATTTAAATTGTACAAGGAGAATTTTAAATTTTTCTGTATATAATTATGACATTGTCACATAGACATTACACATAATTTGTGCCAGAAACCTTAAAAATCTTCCTATGAAATGGAGATAGTGTGACAATCATTTTACATTTGCTATGTAGAGAGAAATAAGGGTTAGTTTATATCCATATTGGAAAACTTTAAAGACTACTTGGAGGTTCTATAAATCCTGGTTTTAATTAAAGTAAAACAATAAAGTCATTATATAGTTCAGATGCTAATGTTCTAAAATAATAATATATATTTACATTAAAGCTAAAACTGTTAAGTAAAATAATATTTTACCGTGTTGGCTTTTAACTGCTCTGGGGTCTGGAACTGTTGATGTTCTATTCCTACTTTAAGAACTGAACTGCTCACTTATTCTGAAAGCCTTGTCAAACAAGCTGATGTTAAGTTGGTTTTCACTAAAGCTGCTGGGATGCCTGCCTTGTTGGAAAATTTGTTCATCTCCCCCCCCCCCGCCCCCATGTTTAATAAAAGCAAGTTATATGTTTGAGATGCTTTTTTTTAAAATAAAGTTTGTGTCAACAAACATTTATATACTTCACTTGATGAAAATATCTCTATCAGCCAGTAAAAAGAAGACAAAAACAACTAATAGTAAAATCTACTATTTACCAAGGATTCCTGTCAAACCCAGGCATTCCATCTCCAAAATAAGTGGCCTAAGCATGTAAAATATTTAGTTCCTGACACATGGTAAATGCACACTGAGTGATAAATGTTGCTGATATTTTTTCCCAAAGATTTACTTATTTATGCATAGAAGAACTGGGTATAGGCTAGAGGTGCAGGGGCTGAGAGGATTCACCAAAGTGGAGAGCAGAACAGGCAAATTGGCTGAAATACACTGCTGAGGGGAGCAGCAGGAGACACAGGAGAGGTCTACTCAATCCTATGTGGGATTGAGCTCCCTAGCTGAGATCAAACTCAAACCATGTTGGTGATAGTGGTGATAGTGCTGAGACACAGGCCCTAAGCCACCAGGGAGTCTTCTACTATATTTTTGAATGAGACGTGGAGATACCCTTATATGTAGAGATGTTTTGTCAAACGTAGGGGAAGGAGTGACTTTTTGAAAAGTTGTGTTTGTATATTGATTGGCCACCTGTAAAAAGATACGTTTGAGGGGCCTCACTGGTAGTGCAAGGTATTACAACACAACACTATGAGGCTATCCACAGCCACTGCAGCATGAGTCTGATCCCCAACCAGGGAGCTGACGCACATAGCACAGATCTCTCATGTCTCACCTGCTGCTCCCCTCAGCAGCGTACTTCCATCAGTAAGCTTGTTCTACTCCCACTGTATCTCTGGTGAATCCTCTCACCACCCCTGTACCTCTGGTTATGTATGCATAAATAAATCTTTAAAAAAAAAAAGCTTGAATCCCTACCTAAAGCCATAAACAAGTATGTTTGAGTTGGAGTAAAGACTTAAATGTAATATTTTAGAATTTAGATGAATATAGTCAACATTTTTCAGACTTTAGCATGGATTCTTTAAAATCCTGCACAAAGCAACAGTCAACAAAAGTGGACATGATAATTTATATATATACTTATATATATATATATATATATATATATAAATTCAACAATTATTTATACATCAAGTCCTAAAAGGAAGCCAAGAGCAAGAGTTAAATTTACATTTGGATTTATAAAAATGTAGACATTCCTATAACTCATAAAAAGGCTACCCAGTAGAAATGTTTTTACAGTGAAAGAACAAAAATTACATTTCTTCCAAGAGGAACACAGGCCAACAAATATACAGAAAAAAATTTTTTTGTTCCTTTACTTATCAAGGGAATAATAACACAAAGTACCTCATCCTACCCATCAAGTTAGCAAAATTGTTAAGTTTCAAAATAGCAAGCATTGTCAAGGCTGATGAAGTAGTAGGAATGGTTTTACTGCTGGTACAACTATCAAATTTGAAATCTCTAGTAAATTAAATTTATTACCACCTTGCCTTAAAGAAATACGTATGCATGTGCATAAGGACACATACAAAAATATTCATGTTAACCAGTGTATAACAGCAGAAAGATATCCTAGTGAGCATACACTATTAATATTATATCCACATAGAGTCTGTAAGGCAATCAAAAGGAGCAAACTCGATTTCTGCATGTCAGTATTGATACATATCAAATAAGTCCACAAATGAAGTGGTAGGTACCAGTTATATAAAGCATAAAAAATGCATAATGATACTATATTAATGCTATGACTATAGACAGAAAAAGATACGTACAAATTTAATGATGGGAGCCAGTAGATGAAGATTGGATCAGGAGGAAGATTTACTGTTTTATAAACTGCTGTTTGGAAAAAGATACTTGTTTTACTCCAGGTTTAGTATATTAGCAATAATTTACAATTAAAAATATTTTAAAGACCATATAGGACTTGGAGCCTATGTGCATGGAACATTTAGAGACACATTCTGAAAAAGTTGCTTTATCCATACTATTTCAGGTAAAAAATGTTCTAGCTCATTCCATTGGGAAAGGAAGTTGTAATGAGTAGTCGCCAATTATAACCTCAAGTAACAGTAAAGTTAAGATACAGTAATATTAGATCTAGAACAATGAGTTTCATATTTAATTTTTGCTATCTATACATTTTGCTTTTCCTTTTCCCCCTACTTGAGTTGTTTATAGTATTTTGTTAATTATCCATATTCTATACAAATTATAAATCTATATAAATTACTTCCAGGTTCTTTTTAAAGATATTGGAGTGCTAATATTTCTGTAATATATAACATTACTGTAATATAGTTTTTATTTATAAATATATTATTAATAGCTAATATGTATCTACAGATTTTAGACTTTACTGGTTCTGTAGGAGATTTTGTTGCTATTTGCTTTTTCAACAAAAAGGTCACATAAATTATTTAGAAACTGGCCTTACAACAGCAGTGGTCTAAAAGGGCTTTCTTTTTACACACACAGATCTACCCTATGATATCTTAGTTTGCCATTCAGCTATTATCCATTTATTTGTTTCCTGCTGTGATACGTAGTTCTGTCTAGAGTCAAAGAGACTTGGGTTCAAATCACAGATCAGCCACACTCATGGGTAAATTACTTATTTCCTCTGTGCTTCCTTTTTACCTCTGAAAATTAAATTACTATTATATCTACATCATGGGAGAAGTTGCTTAGAACACATGAATTTAAAAAGTACTTGGTAGGCAGAGCTTATTTTTATTACTACTATCAGTAGGTGATATCTTGCCTATTCTCCATCATTTGAAAAGTTCCCTTCTTTCTCATATTAAGGTCAAATCAGGCCTTAACCACCAGGCACAACAGAACCCAAACTGCTTCTAATCCAAGTCCTTGAATGAGAAAAACCTTGAGACCTAAAGTTGCTAGACTTGTAAATGAAAGTCTTAATACCATCTGCTCAATGTTAGTACACTTTCTGCCCACTAGCCATTAAGAATCAACTCTGGGCCTTTCAGGTAACACAGAAGTTAAGTCTCAGTGGTATCAAGCTACCTCCAGCCACTGGGGCATGAGTTTGATCCCCATGAGTTCAATCCCTGACCAGTCAGGTGACTTCATGGCACCGCAGATATTTTCTATCTTGCCCACTGCTCCCCTCTGCAGTGTATTTTCACTACATCTGCCTGTTTTGCTTTCCACTCTCTGTAGAGAATCCTTTCATCTCTTGCACTGCTGGACTACACCCCAGTTCTTATATGCATAAATAAATAAACCTAAAAAAAAAAATCAGAAAGAGGAGACAAAAAAAAAAAACATCAACTCTATGTACCTATTGGCTGATAAATGACTTGAAATAGAGAACCCGTAATTAGAGGTCACAATTAAGATTTTCACAGGCCGACTTTTTTCTAAAGTTATTTTGTATGTGAAAATAGCTCTTACCAATTTGGTGCATTAGAATTAACACAGAATTTTATGCTATTTGAAGCAAATGGAACAAAAAGTGCAGAGTTTGCTACTTTACAATGGTAATATCACCTAAGATGAATGGCATGATTTCTATTCTGCTTTTTCCAATGGCAATGGCCAAACTTTGCAAATGAGGAAGAAAACGGGTGCTAGATATCAAGTACACAAAAATAGTAACCCACTTATTCTGGATCTTCAGTTGGTATTCTTTTTTATCTTAAATGTTACCACTTTCCTGCAAGTTTTCATCCTTAACACCTCAGACTCTTCATATGGATAGATACATTTTGTTTATGGCAGGAAAAATGCCACCATGTGCTCCCTCAAAAAAACTTTTTTGACAGGTATTTCAAGAGGAATTGTGAAACATTCTGGTAATTTGTATAGAACTGTTGGCACTTCACAAATGAGAAATTCATTTGGAAGTCTTGAAAATTATTCCTTTTGAAAAAGAAAAAGTGCTACAATTCAAACATTTATAGTTTTCGAATCAACTTCTTTTCAGTTCCTTGAGAAGGGCATTTCTTATTTTCTAATCTAAAATAACACTATCATCAAAAATCAGCCACAATAATAAAAATCAAACATAGCAAAAAAAGTTTACTTACTCAGACCCCTAGAGAAAAAGCGATTTTTTTTCTATCTTAAAATTAGTATTAAACTGTATATTTAAATTTAACCTAGTTTTTACAATATTTTATCCTATGATACTGTGGGGGTAAGTACAGAGAGAAAGATGGAAATACAACTACACAGAATGAAAGCTAGATAAGAGAGAAAGAAGGGTGGGGTGGGGCGCGAAATTCTTAGGAAAAAGATAAATTAAGGCAGGAACTAGTGACTGACTATCCTTTGATTTACTACAGCTTTTTCTAAACAGTGATTGAAATAGATGTGCATATGTGCGGTGGTTATTTGTAAGTAGAACCACATTTCCTCCATCCATCTACAGGTATGGCCCTCAGCAAGTAGTCTGTTTTCCTCTGCCCTTAAATCTGGGTTGGTCTTTGACTTGCTTTGCCCTATAAACTATGTGAAAGTATAACACAAACAACTCCTTTACTTTCCAATTCACCTTTATGTTCCTACCCACACTTGTGGTAGATGATGTGATGATCCTAGCTCTTCAGCTCCCCCGTATCTACACCATTTACCACGTGACTTTGCACTTTCCCTCACTAAAGCACCAGAGCCTATCACACCATCCATGGAAGCAGGCTGTGAGTAAAGGAGGCGAAAATGATGTGTGACAGTTCTAAGAATCAAGCTCACAGGTTAGTATGTTTTTTGCTGGTTCCTCCTGTGCCTGAAATGTGGTGAGAAAGACATCTCTGGGTTAGCTGAATAGGCTTAGAAAATATTTAGAGGTATATAGAGCAAAAACAATGAGCCTATTTTAGACTCAACAGTTAGACTCCCAAACATGTAACTCCCAAACAGGAGTTAAATTCAGTCAAGATCAGCAGGGCCACAGCTATGCCCAGCAATAAATGCTTACTCCTAGCTGTGCCCCAGAGGCTTTC